ATACAAACAAAGTGACAGACGCCATGTTTCACCTTCTCCGAGGAATATCGCCGAGGATATACCGAGAAACATCCTGATGGCTGTCTGCAAGGCATCAAGCATGAGAGTGGTTCTGAGCAGATACTCAAAGGATGGGATGGTGTTGTGATGCCGAGAATGTCGTAGAGACAGTGTATCCTGCCTTACTCCTGAATACACTCCTTCCACTGCTTCTGCGCAATCCCGAACAACTCATCGCTCGTCACCATCTCCCACCCAATCAGGGCCAGCGACTTGCCTACAATCACCGCCTCTTGGTGAGCGTAATCGGTTCCGGCCGCTGCAGCAAATTTGGGATGATGGGGGAAGGAGCCTGGTTCATCCGTGATACCAAACATGGTGTGTAGTGTCGGGACAATGTAGCTCACATTGCCTAGAGAAGTCAGTAAGGTACTCTGACTACATAGTGTGAACACCTACCAATATCAGAAGATCCTGTCATGACCTTCTCAAGACTTGCAATGACATTCCGGTCGTACTTGGACATGTGCGCTTTATATCGGTCGCATAGTGTGTCGTTGATCTTGATGTCGGTATACAACTCATTCCTGGTCCGGTTAGCTCACCTGCAGTTGCTCCAGTTGTTGACAGACTTACTCAATAATCTTCGCTTCACAACCTGTAGCCAATGCACCTGCCTCAATGCAGTTCCGCACTTTGACCATAAGTTGGTTCAACCCCTTCAAAGTCGGGCTGCGAACCTGCCAATACGCTTTCGTGTAGGATGGAATTATGTTGGCCACCGTGGGCGTATCCAGGAAAGCACAGTGGATGCGCTCATCTGGGCGGAGTTGCTGGCGCAGTACGGCCACGTTGTTGTACGATGTCACCAAGGCGTCGAGGGCATTGATTCCTTCCCAAGGGTTGCCGCCCGCATGGGCACTCCGACCTGTGAACTCGCAATGTATTTCTTTCCGAGCGTTCATTCGCACACCACCGACGCTGTCCGCTACAACACCAGGGAATAGTTCTTTGGGTCCTGCGTGACTGAGAAGGTCAGTATGCCAAAAGGAAAAGTCTACCCAATGGATACGATAAGCCGCATAAGGGGATGGTCAATACGTACGCCATCAACGACACATCCACACCCTTGTATGCACCCAAGTCAATCAGCTTGGCCTTGCCACCGCCGTTCTCCTCTGCCGGAGTACCCAAAAGCTGAGTGCGACCGGGAATACCATATTGTTTGACAACAGTCGACAGCGCAAGGAAGGCGGCCATACTGCTGGTAGTGATGAGATTATGACCACAGGCGTGGCCGATGTCAGGCAGTGCATCATATTCGGCATTAAAGTTGATTAGGCGTCCACCGGATCCGCTGAGTGCCTCGAAGGAGGTGTCCAGTCCGTATGCGTGACGGGTTACGGTGAAGCCTTGCTTCTCGAGGAAGTCGCAGATAGTGTCATGGGCGCGATGCTCTTGGTAGGCTGTTTCTGGATTACACCAGATCTGCGGTTGATTCGATGATCAGAATCGTTTCAAGCGAAAGGAGAGTTGCATGCCTACCTCTCGGTTGAGCTCTCGTAGCGATGTTTTCGCCGACTCCAAGGCTGCATCAATTGCCACCTTCACTTCGTCGATCGTTGGCACGGTTTGGGTAATAGTCTGCGTCGCAGTCATTGTGGCGATGGTCTGTCAATCTTGCTCTCAGCTGGTCGAAATGCAGGGAAGAGCTCCCGACATCGTCTGCCGGGGCGTCATATATGTCCTTCCCTCCCCGATCCTCGCCTTGCTATCGCGGCAAGGGATAAGCGTGGAGAACCTCGGCCGACGAGATGGGCAAATCCCGGACATTCAGGTGATACCCATGATAGGATGATTCGGGTAACCATTACGAACAAGTGTCACTTGTAACGGTGACTCCATCTGCACCCCGCATCGCGGAAGATTGTCGTTATCAAATCCGCCCCGAAAGCCATGGGAAACCCTGCGCATAAGCCATTAATAATACCTCCGCTATCACGCTATCAGACTTATCAGGGTCATTGGCTCGGCAGATAACAGTGGATCAAGGTATTAAATGAGTCCTTCGTCCCTGACCAACACGAGGCGTTTCTCCGCATGATCAAATCTGTGGGGGAGGCGCAGTTGCGAGTTTCCCGGAAGATGGACCCAGCATTGAGTTCTCGAACCAGTGGAAACCCAAGGATAAGCGTGGTGGAGAGTTGCCGGTTCAGCTGCCGGCATTGCGATGAACGATAACCTGCTTGTCATCTTGCCGACCGACGCTTCGTATTGGCGCATCTGCCGACGACGTTGCTTGGATCTGCTGCCATATCGCAACCCCGGATTCTAAGCTACTCGAGTCACCGCACGGATATTGTTTTCCTCTTTCAGGACCAACATGGCTTCACCGATTTCATTGGGTCATTCATATTCGACCGGATGTACACAGATACTAGATAGGGAAAGTCAATCACCGCGATTTGACTCACGGCCAAGTCCCCGACCTCGCCACCATCGTGATGAGCACAGACAGGGCATCAGAGCGGTATCGGCTTGTCAAGTTACCCGGTGGAGGTGCGTGTATCAATCGCTGATCGCGGAAGTTGTGCGCTTGATTCCGTGGGTGCTGTTGGTTAAGGTTTGCTCACTGGTTATCTTATAACCGATGGGCCTCATCTGTACCGGTAGCAGTATAAACAGTAAATCAATTCCGTGCCATCATGCCGTGGCAGCTCTCACAAAACCAAACCATCATGGAGAAGCAACATACAGACCCTCCTCCCGGGGTGACCCCCGAATTAGACGATCTAAAACTGAAGGAAGAAGCCACCCTGGCCCGGGATGTCGGACTGGGACAAGTATTGGAGGTGGAAGCCACCCCAGAGCAGGAACGAAAGGTTCTGCGAAAGCTGGACATAATGTATGTGTAATTTGTATAGTATTGAATGTTCTTTTCTCACTGCTCGAACAAGATTGATCCCTCTGATGGGAGTCTGTTACATGATGCAATACATGGACAAGCTTGCTCTGAGTCAAGCTACCCTGTTCAACCTCCGGCAGGATCTGGTATGTTGCCACTTCCAACGAGAATGATCTATACTGACTTTGAACAGAACCTCAAGGGACAAGAATATACCTGGACATCTGCTGTCTTCTATTTCGGGTATTTTGCCTGGAGTTGGCCCAGCTCGTATCTGATCGTCCGTCTGCCAATTGGCAAATACATCAGTGCCTCAGTGTTTGTGCATCCCCTAATCCTACCCCATAATACCACTAATACCCTATAGATTAATATGGGGAGGCATCCTAATGTGCCACGCCGCAGCAAAGAACTTCGGGGGTTTAATGGCTGCCCGATTCTTCCTAGGAGTGGGTGAAGCCGCCATTGCCCCGGGATTCTCCCTCATCACAGGCATGTTCTACAAGCGCGAGGAACAACCAGCACGGTACGCCTCCCCTATAACCAGAACAATCATTATAGATATTCAAACTAACAATCAACAAGGCAATCGGCCTGGTTCCTAGGAAACTGCATCTCCACCATCATCGGCGGTGTCGTAGCCTACGGAATTGGCAGCATCAAAACCAACGCCGTATCTAGCTGGCAACTCCTCTTCCTCATCCTCGGCGCCATCACCGCATTCATCTCCTTTTTCCTCATCGTCCTCCTCCCCGACTCCCCCAAGAAAGCCATCTTCCTGACCAAACCCGAGCGCGCCATCGCCATGCACCGGACCCTCGCCAACAAAACCGGTGTCGCGGACGAGGGATCATTCAGATGGGACCAAGCCTGGCAGGCACTCCGCGACCCTCAAACCTGGTTCTTGGTGCTGTACACATTCTCCGTGAACCTCTGCAACGGCGGAATCACAAGCGTAATCCTTCCCTGCTCCCTACCTTACATACCAACCTCCATCGAACTAACAATAACCAACCAGTTCTCCTCCATAATCATCAACGGCTTCGGCTTCTCCCAAATCCGCTCCCTCCTCATGCAAATGCCTCTCGGTGGCGCCCAAGTCGTCTTCCTCATCCTCACCGCGGGCATCGCAACCTTCGTCCCACACACCCGAATCCTCATGATGATCTTCAACACCCTCACCTCCCTGATCGGCATGATACTCGTCTGGAAGCTCGACGAAGATAACCGTCGAGGCAGACTCACGGGCCTGGCCCTGGGCGCTGTCTTCGCTGTCAATATTCCCCTCTCGCTGAGCATCATCAGTTCGAATGTCGCGGGGTTCACGAAACGAAGCACCACCAGCGCGTTGCTGTTTGTTGCATACTGTGTGGGGAATATTGTCGGGCCGCAGTTCTTTTATACCTCCGAGGAGCCTCACTATCCGGTATGTTTTCTTCCATTTGTTTAGAGAGGGGCGGTATGCTAACGTGGTGGGTTATAGACGGGCATGAAAGCTGCTACTTCGGGGTTGGCATTGGGGGCATTCTTCTTGGTGTGTTTGCTGGTGTATTATATTTGGGAGAATAAGAGGAGGGATAGACTGTATGGAGTTCCGGGCCAGATGACAGAAAGTCAGGAGTTGGCGTTGGGGTTGTCGAGTAAGACGGATTTGGAGATTGAGGATTTTAGATATGTTGTGTAGATTGTCTGACGAATCAATGAAATCTTTCTCTTCAAGTCTGTAGTGCTAGTTGGATTATCGTGTGTAATAAGAGTTTGCGGGATGGATAGTTGTGATAAGGAGTTGAAGGTCACTCTCGAGTGAGATTAATTTTTTGAGACAAAGATGGATCATGAAGAAACCATGGGAAGACAAGTATACTGTCGTACTGACAAGGAATGGTGGATAGAGAGCATGATTTGACTGGAGCTTACAGTAGAAAGAAGTGAAAATTGACAAAACGATTTGCAGAGCGATCAAACAAGAAATAGACAATGATGCTTGCTCATCTTGTGTCTTGCAAACGAGTAGGTAAGGAGTACGTGGTATAATTTCCTTGTCGCTTTGCATGAAATAACTTCGATGCATTGCTCATTCAAGCATATGTAACGTTCATCCAAATAAGGTAGAATCCCAAATCGGAAAGTTGTCTTCGAAAATAGGTATCTCCCATTCAGTTAGTCTTGTGTCATCCCACATAGCGTATTGCCATCGCCGTTGCCGATTTTCAGCGCCATATTCATACATATCGAAGAGGACTTCTGGAGATTCGTAAACTTCTCGAAGCCATATTCTGTCCCATGCTATGTTAGGCCGTTGAAACGGTGGAAATGTTTTCAGAAATTCCCGGAGCCCATTCCTGTCCGTGCCGAAGTTGAATCTGTTTGCAGGGTAAAGCAGATGCAAATCATTAGTGGCGGACGGTCTTGGCCAGAATCCGAAATCAAAGAAATGAAATCTGATTGATCGCACGTTGACAAGTACCAGATCCCGGCGATCTCGAAATTGCTTTTGCCTCAGGACTCTGCTGAGAAATGCCGGTCCTTTTGAGGCCAAGTTCTCCCTTTTATTTTCCGGGTACACAAAGTCATCACAGTCACTATACCAGCAACCCTCGGGGGGTTGTTCATCTTTGGGAAGTTCGTGAAACCATGTAAAGCCTGTCTGCATCAAACTATCGGATACTTCTCGAAGGATTGATTCGAATCGGTAACAGCAGTGCTCCCATAAGCAGCCAAATTCTTCAACTTCCCAGGGAGCCATATGGCTAAAGAACAGGCGCCACATCTCGCCACCAGTGAAAACCTCTTGTTTGTCGGTCCAGTCATTGTCCTCGAGAGTAAATTCCGAGTCTACATTCCGTTCAATCGAACCGAATATATTTCCGTAGATTTGCAATCGATAAAAGGCACGAAAGATGCGTCGCTTTTCCGTCTCGGTTAAGACTAGAGGTAAGAATTCCTTCTCCCATTTTGCTTCGTCTATCCAGCCTGGTCGCCTCGCAGTCCTACAATAATCTTCCAGGAAGAAGATAGCCTGGTTATGCAAATGTATTAACTGCATTGTCTCTTGAACATCTGCTGGTTCATCTGGGAGCAGGCTAAGTGATGCTTCCGGCCGAGTTGTTCTGTGGTTGTGAGGTCGAGAATCAAGAAATGAAACGATCTTTCTTTTGTTGGATGGATCGGAAGCGTACAAGCCTTTCGAACGGATCGCGGCTATCGCATCGACTGTGTCCACCAAGCCAGCATGGTGTTTCTGTAGAAGCCTTCGAAGAAAACTTTGCTTCACTAGCAAAAATGCTCCATAGTATGCAGGAGATGCACGAAGAAGCGACCACACAGAGTGGATATCAGGTATGGTATCGAGGATGCAAATATGCAGTTCAACTGGGATGCTTTCTAATGTGGGCACGGACTAATCAAAGTCAGAACGATCACTATCGCTGAAGGTAGGATATACTGACCATTCTCGAAATATACTATCTTTGGGACTCTATTTAGTAATGCAATATCTGATGATAAGGAAGTAGTGAGGGTGGAATGAAAGCCGTTAAGAAAAGCAAGGTAAGGCGAGGTGAGGGGTGTGGTGTAGGTGAGGTGAGGGAAATTCAAAGATTGAACGGCGCCTCGAGCTAATTACTATATTTATCGCCAATTTGTCGCCCAGTGGAATTATGCGCCTTATGTAATACGCCCTCTGTGACCTTTTTTCAGGGATTTATACCAAGAGATGTGCGAACAAACAACTTAGGCTTCACTGAATGGAATTTGACGTCGTCTCCTACGCTTACTACTGTGCAGGGATGGTGTCAAAAAGCATTGGAGCTTTCACAGTGAATGCCCTAGATAATACTTCCCGAGAGTGATCTCTTACCCACTAACGTTCCCATTCACTCGTCACTAGTAGCTCTAGACCCTCCTCAACCTCAACCCTCAAGAAGCATCTTGGCTTCATCAAAATTCACTAGATGCGACTTCTTCGTATAATCGCTTCCTTTCCTGGTTTGAGTCGACCAAATACATACTAAGAAAAGCTATCAAACATGCCATTATATTCATGCCTTGGGCCACCGTAAACATCTAGATGTCCTTGGTGTTGAATAAGAGCGCTTGGTTCGTTATTTGGAATGGAAACATATCATTGAAGAGGCTCTTCTGGCCTTCAAAGATACGACGAGTGAAGTATACATGACCACGATAGAATTGGAACTCCGTCGGCCTTCACTGCGTTCTACGAGGGATCAGTTATTCAATGAAAGGTGCTTCCTCAAAGATGTCAGGCCTATACTGGATGTCTCTTTTACTATTGTCTCCATTCAGCTATTCTCTCTTTCTCTAGATCTATGGATGAGCTTGTTTCACTAGATAATATCATCATAACTAGATCTACTTCCTTACTCTGATCATACCATATTGTACCTATCCAGTCGGAATGGCTCATCATGAAACAGATCTTACCAGGACAGCCAAATCGAAGAAAAGAGGCGCGAGCACTGAGTGCGACAGACGCTTGCCGGAAGATTCCCATGTCAGTGGCCAGCCGCGTCAGAGCTACTATGGCCACAATTTCCAGCAATCGGAACAGGGTCTCTCATCGAGCTTTGCTTTCGGGGACATCAAGAAACAAAATTTACCAGATCCCTGGGTCAAAGCACCCAATCCGTATCCGGAGCGCACGCAAAGCGACTACCACGCCTATAAGGCTGCTGGGAGACACCTGGCAGCAGTTAAACGAGATTATGTAGACACCAATCCGCTGAGCCCTCAAAATGCATCCGAACTTGCAGTGCCTTGAAAAGGGGGAGCAGCTGGCTGGCGATGTAATAATCGCTGCCAACAAGTAAGCCAGAGCTAGACTTAAGCTGAGATCTTTGGCCTTCACTAATAAGACTCTATCTAGTGTTGTGGCTGCCCGTAGTGGGTTTGACCATAAGTACCCCACTGCCTATGAGAATCTGGCTAGTAAGAAATCGCATGAGGGTGCAGCCCGGGAGTCATTTAGTACTGCCCGAAAGTTTCGGAACAACAGAGAAAGGATTCGCCAAAAGATAGAGAATCTCGCCAAACGCTAGTAGCTCTCGAGCCCCCGGGGGAAGGGATGAGTGGTAAGCAGAAGTGCATTGTTTTCGTATGCCTGAATATCTCTTTCTTCGCCTTCAATCAGGCCAATCTCATTTGTCTGGCAGCTCTTAAGTACAGTATGATCATTGCTTCTTAACGAATACCCACAGTGATTACAAATGAGTATAATAGTGCCCTGCGTAGATGTGCCAGTTGGGTTGTAACGGAGCGGTTGGATATATAAGTTGGAGGAATAAAATGCTGCAACAGAGTCTAGTATTCCTTGAGTGAAAGATGCGGAGTATTATGCGTGACCTGACCACGTTATAATCTATCGTCCAACAAATCGTGGAAGATTCCGATATGGTAGATATTCCCACGGATCTTTCCTACGCTTGATCGGAAGCTTCCAACCATGACTGGTAATCTAGAACGCGGTCAACCTTTATAAAGAGTGTCTCGTCTTCCATCGTTTAGCTGGCACTATCATCAAACAAATCATTTCTTTGTAGGGACTTCCTATTATTCGCATATTTTATCCCCTACAGTTCATTTTACGCCCTTTATCTTCTCTATGCCTTGTATACACAGAATCGGCATTGCTAGGCGTCATTGGTTGCCCCTTCCCTATCCAATGACTAAACTAAACCTGCACTTCAACCAGCTATAGTGTCTTATTGCAATCATTCCATTCAGTGGGACGCATGTTATGTTAGCGGAGTTCAACTAACCCGGAGGATTCACTCTAGGTAAGTGACATTGCCTCTATCCTTCCCTTTACGCTCCTATTACCTAGTTACACATTGACCTCCCTGCATCAAGCTGGGGATGAATGTGTGGGTTTCGGTCAATCATCTACATAAATAGCGATTAGCCTTGAAGTTACATCTTCTTATTCCCCTCCAGTTAACATTGAATATCACAGCCCGGGAAACATAAATAAGCATGCTATCTCCCCGTGATTTGCTTTTTCCTCTCTTCCCGAGTTCCTCAGTCCGCAGCTATACTACACGAACCACCAGTACCGGTGATAATTGGTCTATCACGGCGTGTTATGCGTCGGTAAGTGATTCTAAGTGATTCAATAATGCATGATAGCATATCATGGTCCCAAGACTAACTGCGAGGTCAGATATATATACGTGAACAGAATTCCACAAGTGGATCTATGGGAGTTCCGGGCCCGAAAGATCATTTAACAGAGCTATATACAAGTGATCAGAGGTTGTGTATCGGCACAGCACGACTGTGCTGCTATTGAGGATACAACTTCCAGGATAAAGAGCTGAAGCGCTCTTTAAGCTTCGCCTATGGGGACACTAAAGAGCCTGAGCTACTCTAACCGTGGGTAAAGTACTCACAGCCGTATACCAAGCAAGTCAAGCAAGACTATAACTTGTATAAGGCTGTGTGCAGGGACCTTGCTGCCGTAAGAGCGAGGTTCAAACGGGCAAGTAGTGCCCTATTCCGTGCTAAGGGCGGAAGACTTCCCGCGGTTGGGGAAATAAAGAATTGCGAGGAGCTGGCCACACAGGCAATGGTGGCTGCTAATAGGTGGGCCGATATAACTGCAATCCCCAGAGCTTTGAAGTTGCTAACGTTTTCCTGTACTTTTATAGAGCTGGGGCTGCGAGGAGTGGTTTCCTCCACCAATACCCCACCGCCTATGAGGGCCCCAAAGCCACCATTGACCACGAAAACGTGGCAATAGAGCAGATAAGATCTGCGAGGAAGTTAAAGAAAAAACGGGAAGGGATACGGCGAAGTATCTCACATGCATCGAGAGAGGCAAGTTGGGGACAGAGTTAAGATTGGCTATACCTTTATTCCCATCATGGTAGGAGGACCCTGGCTTTCGTCATGTGGAAATAGTTAAGCGACATTACATCAAGGTCGTTCCACTGAGCCCAACTGTGCCTCCAATGTGTCAGAAGGAGGGGGAACAGCTGGCCGGCAATGTAATAGTCACTGCTAATAAGTAAGCACGAACTAGACTTACGTTGGGTCTTTAGCAGTTACTGACAAGAGTCTATCTAGCATCGTGGCTACCCGCAGTGGGTTTGATCATAAGTATCCCACTGCATATGACAACCGGGAAAGTAAAGGACGACATGAAGTCGCGACCCGAGAAGGGCTTAGTACCGGAATGGATTTCAGAAACAAAATAGAGATAGAATTCACAAAAAGACCCAATTTCTTCGCAAATTGCTAATTATCGACGCAAAGAATGCGCTTCTCGACATGTGGATGATCAGAGGAATATGAAAATTCAAGAAATGGCAACGGATGGTGTATGCGGTGACTCTATTGAGCTTGCTTCAAGTTCCTGAATCTTCATCATTGACGTCTATTTATATCCTACTGACGCATTGCTGGTGGTGTCCTACATCTTGATATGGACTCTTTGAATTTAACGATCCCATCTTCTGAGAGAGGGTGGGGAGACCGAGATGATACATTTGCTTCGAATTTGTGGATTATTGCAACATTGGGAAAGCTTCCTTGAAGCGGTACCATTCGAGTCCTATTTGGACGAGATCCTTCCAATAGAGCGTGACCTTGGTGGATTCGAGCTCATATGGTACTATGTGCAGCTAATTCGCTGGGGACCGAGCGCGCTGGATAAAGATGATATAAACAATCTCAATTCTCTGAATCTTGAGACCGGAGGCATAACTCGTACATCCTTGTCTTCTCTCCAGGCATCTTGATTGTCAGACTTGTTATCTTCATGGTACAAATCTACACATCATAGATTCGACTGCATTCTTTCTCAGTACATTTGCTGGCTATTTCGATGTTATTTCGGTCATAGATCCACAAGAAAATGTCGTGCAGGTAGAAGCAGGAACGTCGCAGAAGAACATGTCCTGGTGAACGAGTGCTTGAGGGGAGTTAGACCGAATTTGGGAACACGAGATGTACTTTGAATACTGTTACTGGAAAAGAAGCTTTTTGTTTGTCTTGATGAGATCTGTGGTGTGGTACTAGCGGAATGCACTTAGTCCTGACCCACCGGCGGTGATATGGTTATTACTTCTCACAATTGGAATGGATCCGTCTGTAGTGGCTTATTCTGGAATAGTAAACATAGTAGATTAGCTTGGGCGCTATAGAATGCTTCCAGTCATTGAACTCAGCGAGCAGATTTATAGATGACGGACTGGATCTTCTTCATATGTGTTACTGGTATATCCCCCAAAGCTTGCCAGAGTCTTGAGACTTCCAGCCAAATGTCGGGTGTTTAAGCGAAACGTAAAGTGACAAGACATGAGACACTGTATGTGTAGCGCAGCTACTTCCCAGCAGCCACCGGCAACCTGGTCCAGGCAGTGGTGCGCTCATGCCTCGCGCCTTCCTACACTGTCATCTTCACAACTGCAGCCAGCCTCTTCGCCACCGGATGCCGTTCCTGATCTCAAGATGCCGCAAGCACTGCAAAAGGCTCACCTGTCTCTACAATTATTCTGCACTTAATTTCTTCTTGAATTCATTTGTATCATTCTGTCAACACTAGATGCTGCTCAAAGCAAGTCAAGCGTTGGTGCTTTTGGCCACTATTTCCTCAACATTCTACGCCCATTTTGCCAATGGCTATCACATACCTAAGCCGGATATTCCGGGTTTGAAAATTCTTTCTATTACTGCATTTCTACTTCAGGACTACCCAATTACGGGCGTGCAGGTGAATCCTATACAGTCGCAGAATGTGACTATCAGCTTCTGGAATGTCACAGTTACCTATACGCATCCGGGCTGGGATGACCTGATTCATGCGCACGTTTGGGTACCATTGTCTGGATGGAACAATCGGCTCCAGGCAGTTGGAGGAGGAGGGTGGGCAGGGCTTGTGGACTATGGCACATTAGCTCTGCCTGTCTATCAAGGATTTGCAGCTGCCGGGTCTGACATGGGCCACGACAGGATTCCTTGGTCAGCAAAATCATGGGCTCTCGAGGATGCCTCGGGCCACGTGAACTTCGCCCGACTGGCTGATTTCTTCTCAACCTGTCTCTATGAGCTGTCGCTTCTCGCCAAGTATATCATACAAGAGTTCTATGGAACACTACCTGCTTACTCCTACTGGAACGGCTGCTCGACTGGTGGGCGGCAGGGATTGGAGATCGCCCAACGATGGCCCGATGCATTCGACGGCATATTGGCGGGGGCGCCAACCATAAACTGGGCGCAGTTCGTCCCTGCAAACTACTGGCCAACATTCGTCATGAACCAGCTTGGGGTCTATCCCTCCCCCTGCGTCATGGAAAAGATAACGGATGCAGCAGTCGCTTACTGCGATGGTCAGGACGGTGTTGTCGATGGAATCATTGCTCTGCCGTCGCTTTGCAACTTTAATCCCCTTACTCTCATAGGGATGGAGGTTTGGTGTGAATGTATTCCCAGCATAATTACTGCGGAAGTGGCATTACTTGCAGTGTCATACTGGGCAGGTCTAACTGCTAAAGATGGGACCCCTTTGTGGTACGGTTTCAATCAGGGTACGCCATGGAATTATACGATCTGCACTGCTACCGATGATATTGGGAATCACCGATGTCATTCTTTGCCCGATTACTTGAGCGTGGACTGGCTGCAATTTTTTGTTGCTCAAGATCCCGATATCGACTTGGTTGACATGGATCATGCTGAGTTTGAGTCCCTCTTCTATCAATCCATCATCGGATACAAAGCAATTACCGATGCTAACAATCCCGATCTCTACGACTTCAAGAATAGAGGGGGAAAGATTATCCATTGGCATGGCTTAGCTGATTGGCAAGTTCCTCCAAATGGCTCTGTGAACTACTACAGAAAGGTCCAACTGCGTGATCCATCAGTCCAGGATTATTATCTCTATTTTGAGGCGCCAGGAGTCGAACACTGTGGTAATGGAAAGGGACCAGCTCCAACTCGTTTGATGGAGTCATTGATGGCATGGGTTGAAGGAGGCATTGTTCCTGATCATCTGCACTCTGTCTCTGAGGATGGTGGGATGTCAAGGATTCTCTGTCCCTATCCTGCTACTGCGCAGTATATAGGAGGAGACCCTACAATTGCTTCATCGTTTGTCTGCCAGTAGATTGTTCAGCGCACGCGTTCTTTGATTGTGCTTCACCCCCTTTTGACTGCACTCTAGCATTACTACAGCCTTAAGTTAGTATAGTGTCAGTATTACTCTTAATATACTGTGCTTCATTCTGGACTAGCTTCACATATGGCTTATTCTCACCTATACCTTTGAGGTCCGCATGGCGCTAGAAAGATGATAATATAGAACATACACAATACTTCTGCACTGCTTCCCCCTCATGCCGAGTATACAGATTACCCGAAGCGGAAATCCACCTGACGTCATGATTAGTCTTTCAGTTTCTTTCTAATATCACATTTCCTCAGACTGCATTCTCTTTTCAACCATGAACAAGTGAAAACACCAATTGGCCATGGCATCAGTGTCTCCTCGAAAGAAAGTTGCCATCATAGGTGCCGGAGCAGCAGGCATGGTACAGTCCTCCCCTTCCCTCCCCTACCATCCCTAACCCATTACGAACCCCGACTAACTACTAAAACCCCCACAGTCCTGCGCCTCCACCCTATCCCAACACCCAGACAAATTCGAAATCCACCTCTTCGACTCGGCCCCCCACGCCGGCGGCCAAGCGACCTCGATCCCCCTCCCGCCCAACCACGGCGCAACCTGGCTCAACGACGGCGTCCAAGGCGGCTCATCCATATTCCGGCACACATTCAACTTCTTCCGACGCTACGGATACGAGCCTCAACCCGTACAACTTCAAGTATCCTTCGGCAAAGGCCCCGACAGCTTCTTCACCAACATGTTTCCTTCCCCCCTCGTGGACAGATACTCCGCCGAGATCGAGAAACTCGGCCGCGTGCTGAAGTGGATTAAGCGGCTGATGCCATTCCTGGGTATACTGCCTATCAAGATTGTACTTCGGCTGTTCAGGTTCAGTGCAGAGTTCGGGAGTAAGATGGTTCTTCCGCTCATTGCACTGTTCTTGGGCACGGGGAACCAGACGCCGAATGTGTCGAGTGTGTTATTGGAGAGGCTGTTTGATGATCCGCAGATGAGGTTGTGGGATTTTGATCCCGATATGTTGTTGCCGAATCGGCCGGAGATGTACACGTTCCCCGAGTTGGGGAGGTTTTATGGCGATTGGGTGGGGGATCTGGGGGAGAATAAGGGGGTGAGGGTGATGTTGGGGACGGAGGTGGAGATATTGAAGAGGGACGCTAAGAAGGGGGTAGATTTGAGGGTTTGGGATAGGGGTGAGGGTGGGGAGAGAAGGTGGGAGGGGGTGATGCATGATGAACATTTTGATGAGCTTGTGCTGTGTGTGCCGGCTGATGAGGCGAAGAAGTTGCTGGGTAGGCATGCGACATGGAGGGAGAAGTATGTGCTCGGGGGTGTGAGGTTCTACGATGATGTTACAGTCACGCATAGTGATGCGGACTACTTCAGTAGTAACTTCGAAACGAGATATAAGAGTGATCTGTGCGGGAAGGCGTCGAGCGAGGCGCGCAACGAGCAAATCTCGTTCGCGAAGCAGACACCACGCTGTCGGAAGGACGGGTGGGACGGGTTTGCGCCTATGTACTATACGCATTCGTATGAGCAGGATCCGCAGAAGATTGAGATGGGCTTCGATTGTTCGAATTATCAGCATCAGTTCCGGGAGGCGTTGGGGGAGGGGGCGCTGTCGTTGGAGCCAGATCGGCATGTGTATCAGACGATCTTTCTGAATAAACAGGAGTCGGATCTATGGACGTGGGAAAGCATCGACAAGGACAAGATCATTGCGAAGAAATGGTGGCATCAATTCGGACATAATTGGCAGCATTATATACGTGTGGTGCCGGGGATGATGTTCATTAATGGGAAAAATCGGACGTTGTATGCGGGGAGTTGGACAATGGTGGTGAGTACTTGGTCTTTTCACGGTTGTGGGTGTGTGTTTCAGATACTGATGGCAGGCAGAATATGCATGAGATAGCTTGTATATCGGGCATTGCGGCTGCGTATCGGCTTGGGGCGAGCTATGTGCCATTGGATGATTTTGCGGAGGATTTTTTTGCTAAGTATTTGCTTGTGAGTCATGGGAAGAAGTATAAGCGGAGATAAGTGTGGATTTAGGGGGGCACAGGACCTTCATTCGTCCGTTAGCTTGTATATACCCAATCATGTTTATGTAGGTAAGTAAGCATGAAGGGTACAGTGTGGACATATTAGGATAATTGACATACCTAGTAAAGCTCTATTGACCTGGTATGATCAGAACAACTGCATCCACTCACCATTAGGATAAATCATTGGGGGCTAATCGTGCGTAAGAGTAAGTAATCGGGGGTCGTCTATGCGCGTGCTAGTAAATGAGGAAATGGTCAGAACGATGAAACCCTGCTGCTAGGGATAGAAATGACCATTGAGCAGATATTTGTTTAGATATGTCAAGGGTGAACGTCACGACTGTTCCACAGCATGAGAGGAATGAAGATCTTAGAGAGATGGTACAACCCAAAGCCTGTATGTGGCCCGAAGAAGGTTATTGGTAGCGAAAATATCAGCATCGTCCAATTACACCAGCTGCTGTAGTTACACTAAGCACATTCGCCTTGGAGTTCACCAGCGGACAGTTGATTGTCTTGCCATCTTGTATCCCTTGCAGGATTGTCAGTACTTATCATCGGTGGACACTATAGAAGTGTAGCACTGTATGCTAGGGGTGAGAGGGAAAAGATCAAGAAAAGAGAAGAGACAGTAATCAAAGCTAATCAAAAAACATTAGTTCTGTTGGGGCAATTATTTTTCTAAATCTCTCACGTACATTGTCATCTTTTTGGGTGCTCCGACATTCTCAAACCAAATCGGTCAGAATGGATGGCATGTGGCATATGGTAAAAACTTACTTTACAGAGTCCAACAACCCTCTACAATTTTGCAGCCATCTCTGTGAGTTGAATTCATATCCAGACAAGAACAGCAATACAGAATATGGCGTGGATCTAGACGAAGACTGCATGCGCATATTCTCCGCCCTCGGCGACGTCTCTCGCCCCCCATGTACGTGCAACGAGACACAACTGCTGTGCGATCACATTGATGCGTACATAAAAGCCCATCCTAAACACCACATCACATCAGAGACTACACCTTCCACACCGACAAAGGCGATACTTGCATCGAAGGAGTTTGTCGATATGTCATGCGTGACACGCTTCAATGGTGGGCCCACTGGCACGGATCTATAGAAGGCCATCGCTGGAAGCATTTGTACATGGCATTTATGACCATCTTCGACGAAATCGCGATTCCTCCACAAGATGTAGCAGATGGTTCTTTCCGCTTTCTGGGTAATTCTTTAGCGGAAGTTCTCGAAGGGCTGCGCCTAGAAGGTGTTCATCGAGACGATATCAAATTACTGGAGATGTACCTGTGGCGACAGTGTATCATTCAATATCTCGAAAAGGTCGACCCGGCCATACGCGAGTTCTTGATAGGAAAGACTACCCTCATGACTCTATGGAGGGTGTTGACGGCAGGGACTCATGGTGTGGCTGTATGTATTCTCACCAGTAAGGGTATTCGACCACAAGGGCAAACAGATCATGCACTTGAAATGGCTAGCACATGCGATGCAATTTCCATGGATCTGGGAAAGGAAGCTCTGAGTGTATTGCAAGATGAACCGACAGAAATTGTTGCAGGCAAAGATCGCGAGATACTCAAGCGCGAGCGACGCTGGGTTTATTTGCGGGCTTTGGGGTTCTTAGATCAGGACCCGACAGGCGCGTTGCTAAGGCGGTTCGCAACCTCGGGATTACATTTTGTCCTTCTGAATGATCGCTATCGGGAACGTGTTGCGCATGTCCGGTTTCCAATGTCGCCATATCTGCGCCGCCGAATTGCTGCTTATTATAAGAATGGGTGATATAGTCAAAGAGGACTGACTTGCCATAGCTTCCCGTGTCCGATATGTCTGCACTATACGCATCAACTCCTATATCTGTAATTCCGGGTGAAGATTCGAAAAAGCAGTACAGTCACATCGGCGCGGATTCACCAACTTGCCGAGTTTCCGGCTTATCCACTTTACCCTGTGCATTAAACTCGTGCATGCTGCTTGGGATTCTAGCGTCAATGATAAGACGTGGGATGTTTCGAACGTCCAGTCCATCTCTGGTTTGCAAGGATGTTTTTTTTTGTAACAGCCGGTGCCCTTTTGTTAGCATGGAAATGTCTTTGTTGCTGTTGCTAGGAGTGGAAATCGACGGCTTGCATGCATACATCGTCCTCGGATTTGCTTATCAGAATACGAGTATATTCGTTGAGACTTGTAGTATTTTCTTCTTTCATAACGATGTTAAGCTCCGTTATGGATACTATAAATACATTTACATGGGTTATAGTAAAGAGAGGAATGCCAGCTATTGCACAACCCACTTGGCACCAAACCATGAATGACGCATGCCTCCAGATCCCAACACGAATTAGGGCTCGTTTTTCTGCATCCGGGGCGGTATATAACCAGAGCCCTGGCTGTAACCTCAGAGCAGAGCTTCAGATACAGAGCCTAAGCTTACGACTCCTTGTCCAGTACTGGGGCAAACTGGCTTCTTAACCGAAGACGCTTGCCATAAAGCAGGAATGCCAGAGGTATTGGTATCAGGGCCACCGCCAAACAGCCCAACAGTGTGCAAGCCCACTGAATGCCCATATTGGCAAACATCTGCGACGAAAACAGCGGGAACCCTGCTGCCACGAGCGAGCGGCAGAAGGTGTTTGCTGCTAATGCAGATGCAGCGCTGTAGCAGGTTAGAGAGTCTCCGACAAAAGAGAAAGGAAGAAAGTTGTCGAAAGCATGTGGTGATCAAGGAATGGAACTCACTATGCGAGATATGTATCAATAAGGTAGTTGAACGATTGAATGAAGATCGTGAGCAAACCGGCACCTGTGAAGAGACCGCTCAGGGTCGGGACGATCCAATGGATGGTGCCCGTGAATCCAGTCCAGCCGAGCCAGAAGAGCCCTGCGGAAAATAGAACGCCGCCCACAATTGCTGGCGGTAGTCGCCACTCTGGAATGGGGACATTGTTGTTTGCCTTTAGCTTGGTGTTGTAGGTCTTATTCACGTAGACCATGTAAGCCGTTGCAGCGAGCAGGCCCACGACGTTGGACAACATCGGAAGCCCGCTGACACCGGGAGACATGGCATAGACGCCTTGGAAGATGCTACTGTAAGCAGATAGAAAGCAGTAGAGTAAGCCATAAACAAAGCTGAGGTAAATCGTAACAGCTATAATAAGCGGCTCTTTGAAAAGCATTTGCAGTGGCCGTCCTAGAATGTTGACAACCAAATCATGTGGACTAAGTTCGATCTGCTCCTGTTTCGCATGTATACCCCAATTTCCAGTCATTTGACGCATTTTGATTGCTTTTGAAGTCAGAATCTGTGGTGCATAGGTTTCCTTGAGGAAGAGCAGATTGAGAACACATGTTGTGTATCCCATAAATGAGGGTATATAAGCAGTCCATCTCCAGCCAAGATATGACTTGTTTATAAACCCTCCAACACAGGATGCAACTAGCGGGCCCACGAAGACTGTATTAGAAAAGAGGGCAATAGCGATCCCCCGTGTCCGATTGTCATACATGTCCGCGAAGATAGCGGCAACATTGATGAGCGGACTGCTACCAAATACACCACAAAAGAAGCGACAAATTATCAGGGTCTGGAGGTCTTTGGACACAGCAACAGCCGTATTAAAGATACTGAAGCCCAGCATAGCCACGACGATAGGGAGCCGGCGACCATGGCGCTCAGACAGAGGAGCCCAGACTAGAGGGCCAAACGCATAGCCAGCAATGTAGACTGAGCTCGCCAAAGCCGCCACTTCGACACTGACATGGAATTCCTTGGCCACTGCGCTCATGGACGGACTAAAAACGGCGGAGTCGAAGGTCGAGCTGATGCAGGTGACTGCAAGGATGACGCTGATATAGAGCCTTAACAATCAGGGAAGACAGTCTATCAGTTGCGGCGCGGAGACGTTGGACAGGAGACCATCTTACCTAGTGCGCATCGGCCAGTTTTGAGGAAAGGCCGGGTCATCTGGCCCGTCAAAGTCGACGACATAGTCCTCGCGGTCCGGTAGTAGCGGCGGATGTGGTCTACCTCGACCAGAAGAGAGGATATGATTTGCTGCATCATTAGGCAGTCCGCGTTCCATGTTTTTTCTGCCGCTGCATATGTCGAATAAATTGATTCGGAGTGACTTTGGCATGGAATTGAGGAGATAAGGTAGGGCAATGGTGGAAATCTGGTCGTCAAATGTCAGGGGTTGGATTTTGGTCGTCGATTTTCTGCACGCTGCCGGCCTCTGCTCCCTCATGGGCCGCGCCTCCTGTCCCTGTATACTTATATGCGGCAGTCCGTGAGAATCTCCAGTGGATAAAACCAACAATGTATCATCACAAATCATAAGCCTGTGCCGATATATCCGCTATGCTAGACACGCTAGTGATTAATCACCAGAGCACCCACCTAGGATGTCGGAGCCCAGGAGCTCACCGCGATAGAGAAAGAGGCGGCATGCGTCTCGGCGTAACCAAAACCGTAGAAACAAGATAATAAAAGGATTCAGACGAGGCGCTGCACACCGAAGTGGTGGTGGGTCTTAGCTTACGCAGTTACCTAAAGCCTCGAGGGCAGCCGTCACAGCAGAGATTGAGCAGCGAACCCTCATTAGCAAAATTTCAGTTAGACTTGATCATATCCAGTGTCTCAGTATAACACGGCCATGAGACCTTGAATCTAGCCCCATCTTATCTGCGATCATACTCTTTTATCTTACTGGAAGAATGACCCATCCCTTGGGGCGTTGCTGTAGCTTAGCTCGTATCACCTTTTACGCTTGAGGGTCACTCAAAGGTACAACATGCCTGGTGATCGGCACACCACATTACCCAAAGAACTTTCAGTCCAAGCCAGATCCCACTGTCTTTCAGTTGGAAAGCCATGGAAGGTGATTCTCCCCAGTGCCATCCCTTGGGCTCAAATTGTTCAGCATGTCTGCGCTGAACAGTAATGCACTATTGGGAGTTATCTGCTGTATCCAGTAGCTTGTAGAAGCTCAAATGTATCAGTCTGTGAGATGGGAAAGATGGATGGGGTCATCTATATCTTTGCAGATGTATACATGCAACAATAAGTATAGAACGTCTCAATTGATATCCATGAGGGTAGCTATGTTTTCAAGGTACCATAACTTGGAATTATCTTGATGACTACCATTTCATCCTGTTATGTATAGTCTTCTTCTTCTTTCATCTTACCAGATGCAGTAGGAATATACGTTTCCAGTCATGTGACTCGAGGGTTTTCTGGGGGGAGAACGTGGGAAAAGAAGTCGAGTTGAAGTGTCCAAAAATGTGGGAGGTGTTGACAGGTTAAGGGAATTGAAATGCTCCCTGGTCGGCGGTCGGATGTTCCTGATCCGGTTCCATAACATGAACATGAGCGGATCCATGGCGCTTGGCAGCTGCATGTTGCAGTTTAGCAACAAACTGCCAAGGCTTTGCGGGACCTGTACTGGACTCCATCTTATACTATGAAAAATAATTTCAGCAGTCCCTGTATGACAAGTCGTTGGCAAGCTCCAGGGTGGTGAGGAGGGGCGAGAGGGTTATAAAAGTCCAAGTATACCCCCCGAAAGTTCTGTTGTCCCTCATATCCAACGGAATCACCATTACCATGAGCAACATCTACGGCATCCGGCCCTTGGCCAGCAAAGTCGCCTTTGTTGCCGGTGCTAACGGCATCAGCGGCAGTGCAATTGTCGACTATCTAATCAAGCAGCCCGCCAATGAGTGGTACGTGATTTGTTCCCCCACCCATTTTCTCTGCAGGTCGCGCCTACTCACCACAACCCAAGGGCGGAGATAATCATCACGTCGAGAAGCCCTCTCAAGACCGTCTACACCGACCCAAGGGTGCGATTCGTCGCCATCGACTTCCTTGCGCCGGTCGAATTCATCGTCGAAAAGATCAAGGAAGTGTGCAAGGACGTTACCCATGCTTTTTTCACCTCGTACATCCACAACAATGACTTTTCGGTACTGTACCAGAAGAATGGTCCCCTTTTCCGCACCTTCATCGAAGTGGTGGACCTTGCCTGTCCTAAGCTGCAGCGTGTGGTGTTACAAACCGGAGGCAAGGTAAGCAGGATATGTCAAATCTCTTCGGTCTCATACATATGATAACTTCTGACTGTTGGCCAGCATTATGGGTTCCAATTCAGGGACATTACAACCCCCTTCTTGGAAGACACGCCTCGCCATGAAGGCCCAGAGAACATCTTCTACTACGAGCAGGAAGATGACCTTTTTGCTGTTCAAAAGCGCCGCAACGCCTGGAGCTACAACATCATTCGCCCCATGGGCATCATCGGCTACAGCTGTCAATGTACGCATTAACCCACTTCTATCGCCTTTCGCTTCCATTGCTGACATTCTAATCTCTTTTCCATTACGGCAGACCTCGGAATTAACGAAACTCTCCCACTAGCCCAATACTTCCTGATCTGCCGAGAGCTCGGTGACGCACCACGCTGGCCAGGTAATCTGCAAAGCTACCACCGCGTCGAGAAACAATCGTCCGCCCCTGGAATTGCCAACCTTACTATCTGGGCGGCAACCCAGCCCCATTGCAAGAATGAGGCCTTTAACCATGATGATGGAGATGTGATCGTCTGGAAGTTCCTCTGGCATTTGCTCGCCAGATACTTCCAGGTACCAATGGACAAGTTCGAGGCCCCTACTGAGGCAACACAGCCTTTTGATCTGGCCGATTGGGCTCAAGATAAGAAGCCTGTGTGGGAGCGCATTGTCGCCAAGTACGGTGGCGATCCAGAGGCGTTCCAGCTGGACGCCTTCCAGCTCATGAACTGGTATATCACACCAGCGCCGAACATGAAACCCTTTATCAGTACGGTCGTGAAAGCACGTCAGTTTGGTTGGAACCACAGCGATGATACCTACCAGTCGTGGCTTAACACCATGCGTGCATACGAGAATGCCGGTGTGCTGCCAATTCTCCCGTAGTCTTTTGGTCGGTTTACCAAGTCAAGCAGAGCGGAGATGATAGCAGATAGGATGACGGAACTTGAATCCACCTTCTAGATGGAGACTGGTTTCCCAAGAATAAAATCGAATTTTACTTTGAGAAAGTAAAACGTTTCTTGCCATATCTACCCTTCGTATATGAGCCCACTCCCTTCTTTGGTCTTTTCCCTGAGTATGTAGTCTCGGCTTTCAGTACAATTTCGGCTAATATAAAACAACTTAAATTAGAAATCAACTTACGGAAGATGTGCAAATATTTGTCCCTTTATTGTCTACAACTAATAGGCTATGTAGTCTCCCGCAACATATTTATGACAAACTACTGGAGGTTACCCCTGGTGAAATTGACAAAACCAGTTCGTTTCTGACCCACGCGGAGCGCCTTCCCAACGGCCTGGCCTATTTCTGGATATTTCTGGAGGTGGCCGGGAAGATAAGGTGTAAATTGCGGCAAAGTGCCTGCAGATTAAGCCCGGCTGAAATTATAAAGCAGCTCATGACTAAGACCATGCAATTATTTGGCTGCCGGGTGAATACCTTTTCACAGAGGTGGGTTGATGTCCGCTAAGTTGACTAGATAACCCTTGAGTAGGAACATGCAACTCGCTCACTCCGTTACAAATCTTATGGCCATGTTACTGCACTCCTTGGAGTTCAACCCAATCTGAAGAATGGCATGGTTTAGCCCCTCTTCTATCAGTGTCGCACTCATAAAAACTCCCTCACCTGGGAAATTTGCCCAATCTCTTGGCCTATCCTTGCTTGGTAGGACTTTTTTCAAGAAGAATTAGTGCCAACATGACACGCATTCTTGATGAACACCAAGTGAGCGTATGGGACCCCCTGTGTCAGGTTTGTTATTCGTGATAGTGTATGACACTCCTCCGGTTATTTATAAGATGAGCAGGAGCGTGATCATTGCAGTGGCTTATCTGGCGTAAACAACGGATAAGTACTGATGTATATGATCTCTCATGACTCTGGGCTTTCTATCTCGCCTCTGACAGCTATCCCGTCAAGCCCTCATAATATAACTCAAGCATTTTCTGAGTAGTGGAAAGTCTGTATCAATCTATATCATCTATGTACCTGCGATTCTGCTCCCGTATGTGAAGCTAGGAGTCCCTACATAATCCAAAACCTTCAATTCATTACTGTTATTACCAAGCTTTGCTGCCCATTGTTCGAGTGGGTGAGGGAACACTCTTCGAGGCCTTGAGGAGACGACATATGCGGTCTACGTCGTCGAAGAGCACCCGGTTGTGAAATCCCAGTGCGCGTATTCCCGCCTGCCTTCATTGGTCCAAAACATGGCATTTCGGGATGCCGCTTGGTGACATCTGATTCTGGGTTCTGGCGATAGTACCAAATTCCTTCTTCTTCTTCTTCGGAGCCTTGAACCTCGAGAGGGTGGAATTTAATTTCCCAGGCGTCGATAACAACGTTCAACACCCCCAGGAGTATAATTCATGTTCCATTAATGAAGCTAGACCTTGACTTCCAAATACCTCTGGGATTGGATCCGACGCATGAACTTGCGCCGGTGCAACTTGGCAGGATACACAGCGTGTGCATAGTTGAGCATATCCATCTTCAACCGAGAACTATGAGCAATTTCTTGAGAAGGTCCAGTAAACGTAGAGTCTACCCGTTTCTGTGCGATACAGCCTTTATTCTGTCCTGTCGAGCTAGTCAGATGGTGATGTTTTACCCGTTGTATATGAAGCAATGAAGTTTCTATCCAACTCCAACTGCATAAATAGGATATCGTTATTGTTAGAACCCCAATATTTGGATATACTCCTCTACAGCGCAAGGGATAGGCTAGAGGTCGGGTTCCGCAGCATGTGCCTCGTCAAAGACTGTAATCTCAAACGATTCCTCGGCCTCTTCCTCCTCCTTGGCCTCCTCCTCGGCCAGTGGCACCAGTGACGTGGTCCATTGGTAGTTGTAGTTGTGGTTGTAGTAGTAGTAGTAGGCGTAATAGGCGGCGGCGGCGACAAATAGACGGGACTGGAGTATTTCGGCATTTTGGGGTACAGTGGGTCATACTCGCTTTTTGTCTTTGCGCACCATGCCTTGACTGCCCGAGGTTCATGCCAGCTTTCCCATGTTCGGTATGATGTGATCACCAGTGTCCGGGCGCTTTCAATGCCTCCCCTGAAGGCGCGAGGCGCGATGTGTTCCGCTGAGCTTCTCTTCAATTAACAAGGCTCCTTAACGGGTTATCATTAGGGGCTTAGCAGTTTGGTCCTGTAGTCGATAAAAATAACGCTCCGAGTATTCGCCAGGCCTAGACAGGACACTTTCACCGCGGATGATGTCGTAGAGATTGATCAAGCACAAAGCGCCCGCTTGCGCTTTAATCCGGTAAGAGGCTGGGCTTGCCCCGATGATGCACCACGGCGTAGAAATTACGCTTAAAATCTCGTCCATCAGCAGGTGAGTATGTCGATTGGGGTCCTTATTGAGCCTATTTTCAGTAAGTAGCAGTTTTACAAGTTGGCATTGGACCCTCCGCTGATCTTTTGTGTCACTGTCCACGATGAAGGAAGCGGAGAATGGAGGTTATTCTGCGGGAATTTCTGAGTTACATTGTGCCAGTGCATGTTCAAGGCGAATGTGGATTGGAACATTGTTGAAGTTATTGCAGTAGGTATACTTCGTTGGTGTAGCAAGATGCTCAAGCCTCTTCGCCTTTATGGGTCGCTTGGCCGCATCACTGGGTCAACGGGAGCCTCCTTCCTCTTGGCAAGATGGAGGGCCATGTGATACAGACAATCCTCCAGTAGGTTTCAGACGGGTCATATTTGGTAGACTTCCGTTTCAGCTCGATCTTCTGCTTTGGGGTCAGCACATCATCCAAAAGTTGCCGAAGGTAGTCTGTCTTCCGGGCTTTCATATACTCATCCACATGGTTTCTCTTAACATTGTAGATCCAAATCACATGGGCCTTCTGGATTTATTCCGACTGGAGCCTTGCGATAAGCATATCATTATCGTGCGTTAGTCTCCGGGTCTCAAACAGAAGGATTTTTTGCCCTGCCCTGGACACATCCTGTGCTTTGAAAGATTTTGCTTCTGTCAAGGTTACATTCGTGTAACCTTCATCCGTATGATGACTCGCTTCCACTGTATCCCTCTGTTGTCCGTGGCCGTAACTGATCTCTCTTCGTCACGCCAATGTTTCGATACGATCTTGCTTCTTAGGATAACAGCACTAGGATATTCCCCGCTGTTGACTAGGAATGTCAAGTCAAACTTTGAATCTCTAGACGGCGGAGGACAACATTCATGTAGAAATTCTGTGGGCACCTGGCAGTATATTATTTATTATTGCTTCAATGTTGCCTTGCTGCACACTGCTCAATATGCTCTTATTCCTTCTCATAGAGGAATCACGATATAGTCTGGTATCTGGCATTAATAAAGAAGGACCTTGTTGGTCTGAGGGGAAGCGGTGGTTCATAACTTGGAATATATAAGAAAGAGAAAAATTTGTAGAGCGCGATGGATGACGGCTTATATACCACGAAGTGCTCGCTCTAATTCACCTCGCAAATTACTTCATCACCAAATATTAACTAATGCCAAGGCCATTACCTCTACCAAACTATTCATGTCTTCAAGGATTCATATATCGAGCAAAGCTCCATTATTCACTAACACTATGGCAGTAATCCCACCTAACTAGTACATGTCAAGTGGATCAATATATACAACCAGACGTCCTAGGGACGCCGTCTTGCCTCACCTCCAAAGCGAGTAAATTTAGCAAGAAGCACCGGAAGGAACGTTCTCGCAGTCATCGCTGGCCTTTCCACCGGAGAGGTCAACACCGGACCAGGTCCAGTCGGAGCAAGAGCCGTCACCGCAGAGGATGTAGACCTGGGTGGCGTCGTCCTCAAGAGTACCGGTGATACCGTCAACGGTGACATCGGTGATGGGGATACCAGTGGAGGGGGTGCCGGTGGGGGAGCCGTTCTCGTAGTCCTGCTCGATGACGATACCGTACTTGGTGATGCCGGAGAGCTGGATGTTGGAGTAGGTGATCTCGCTGACATCACCGGTCTCCTTGTAGATGGTCTTGATGCGGACACCGTTGGCAGAGTCGCTGACGGTGGAGTCGGAGATGGTCACGTTCTTGACGGTGTTGTCATCACGGCCACCGACGGATCCGATGGAGAGACCGTGGCCACCGGAGCAGGTACCGCCGGTGAAAGAGATGCTCTGTAGTCATAATCATTAGCCATGTGTACTAATTGGATGGCTGTGGTGGTGAGGATATCGTACCTCGCCAGAGTTGATGGCAATGCAGTCGTCCTGGTTCTTGACGGTAGCACCGCTGATGTAGACACCGGTGGACTCGCTGATGTCGAAACCATCGGTGTTGTGGCCACCGTTGTCATCACCGTCGGAGTTGTCGATGGTGAAGTCGTTCAGGTGGACGTTGGTAGCCTGGACACTGATGGCCTGGACGGGAGTGTTCTTGACGTTGATGCCCTTAAAGGTAGAGTCCTCAACATCGTGGATGTACATGAACTTGGGCTTGGTCTTGCCACCGTTGGTGCCCTTGCTGTCCCACCAGCGAGAACCGTCACCGTCGATGACAGCGCCCTCAGCCATGGTGACGGTCAGATCCTTACCACCGAAGCGGATCAGAGGACCCTTCCATTCCTTGTAGCCGAAAGAAGTGGTACCCTCGAAGGTGATCTAGGTGATGTCAGCGTATTGGCGAAGGTGATAGACGGCTGAGAAACACATACGGTGGAGCCATCAGCAGCGTCGGACAGGTCGAGGGTCTCGCCAGCGGGGACCTCGATGCCGCTCAGGACAACATCGGAGCAGCTGGAGATGCTCTCACTGGCCTCAGAGGCAGAGGTGAAAGTGCAGGTAGAGGCCTTCTTAGCGAACTCAGAGACGCGAGAAGGAGCGGGAGCGGCAGAAACGAGGGAGCCGACAGCGGCCAGGCCAAGAAGCTGGTAGGAGTGCATGGTGATTGTTTGAATAGGTTCTGGTCAACAGAACAGGTTTCGATCAAAAGAATGGACGGGGTCTGGTCAACAGAAAGAAAGGACAAGGAGTGGAAGAGTGAGGTGTTGTTGGATAGAGCATCTCAACGACGGAAGTCCTGGAGAGTTTTATACGTGAAATACTGAATCATGCTAAGCTTCTGTTCCTGAACAAGGCAGTGAGATACCCCCATTATTGGTGGAAAGACCAAGGGGACCCTCCGATCCACCCGGGTATCAATCTCTAACGGCGATGGGCGCTTCAGCCAGGGATACCACCGGCACTGCATGCATCGCAGCATTGGTAAGCACCAAGGTTCGTGTCATCCGGCGTATCTCAGACGCTAACGGGCTTACAGTCCGGCCAACTCCGACCCAAGAAGGCATTGATTGACGCTTGGGCTGAAGGTCGAAGCATCGGCGGCTCTCGGCACTGCTCGGCATCTCCACTGCTGATGCCGTGTCTTGGTCTCTTCCTCCATCTGCCCCATCCAGCTTATCCACGCTGTTTCACTCTGTCGCAACATGCTTGGTGGATGCACCGGCAGAGCATGTATCGTCTCGGCAATTTTCAGTGCCAATGCATATTCCTCGTCATCCGATGGTCCTTGGAATTTGGTGATGATATCGATATAGACTGCTTTGGGACCCACCAACACTACGGATCGGTCGGAATCGACCGCACTGACGAGACTAGAAACTGCCACTGCCGATCCCACTATCGAGACTCTAGCAAAGACCCTTTAGGGTATTTACAGGGTCCGCGAATCAATATGATTGATCCTTTCGGCGACATTCCTTTCAGGGGTCCGACCCTGGTTCCTCGGCTGATCATCGGATAAATTTTAGGGATATTGTGCACACGAACGCAGACATTCTTCCGATACGTGATCATGCCAGTTTCTCCGATAGCCGACCATCTCATGTCTTACAATCCCATGGGGTAATACAATGCGGTGGGATGATATTGTGGGCTGTGGCGTGCAGGAATCTTTCTATTCTCACCTTCAATTTCTTCATCTTCCGGGCCCGCAGTGGGTCGGCGCCAACCCTAACCTGGATGCATGGAAGTGTGAAACCTCAACCCCGTTGTACTTCCAGGGGATCACACTGGTTGGAACAAAGTGATGCTGTGCATGGCAGGGTAATCAATACCTGCTTCCTAATATCATTTAATTTGTCACACACATCTCATTCGTGTCGAGGTCAGCTCTGGACTAGACTTTTTTTTGCCAAGAGAACCGCGATATTAAGTGTTGTCGAACTCCGGGCGGTCTCAACCGCCAGTAAATTGATACGATCCGTTTTGCTGGAGCTAATCACTGCACTTCGTCGAGCATCATTATACATCTGTGGCTAATACATGCTACATCACTGGTTCGTGTCCTACCATCCAAGCGAAGGAGCTGTGTCGATCAACCCGTAGGGCCCTGCAAGAGCGAACTGCTTTAGACACGGAGTTCATCGACAAAGGTTTTTCCACGAAGCAGAATGCATCTTACAGATTCTTGAGTTGCTGGGGAACACCAGAGTGGAGTAGGTCCAAGATAGCTAAGAGATTCAAGGTTGGTGGTATTTGCGGGATTCTAAGACAATTATCAGAGTCAAGCACAATTATCCACCCGTAAATGAGCTTAACTTATCTGTCTTTCTTGGCAGAACGGGATTCGCAAGCCATCTGCTTCCGGGGGTTTCTAGGGGGTGTGTAACATGCCCCGTCCACTATCGTCGGCTATAGAGGCACTACTCAGTCTCGGACTTAGGGTTGTCCGATGCAGCGCCGTCTGAGGCGGGCAATATGCATGTTTTCTCGTATTTTTCGTATCTCAAAACATGAGATCAGAAATTGGTCTAGGGTACAGTCGAAGTAGAGATCAATTCATATACGATCTCGACAATGTATTTCTCCTTTAGTGATTTGCCTATATTGCCGGCGAAGCGAGAAGCTCTTGGACGTCTGCATGCGAGACAACGTCCCTGAGTAAAGAGTCAACATCATCACAGAATATTTGGCGGTGAAACATTCAGGTTGTTAGCTATACAATACCAAGAGTTAGCTGGCGCGTACTCGCTCCTGCCAAGCCTGTAAAAGACTTGGCTATGGTGGGACTGGCCTGGGGAGCTGTGGATGGTATGATCCTGGGGCCCCTTATACGGACAAACGAAAAATGCACTTTAGCTTAACGGTATCTTCTCCCAAAATTTTCAAGAGTGGCATTTGAGCGACATATCCTACTTTTAACAATCAGGGGTGTGACATGAAGGTGCAAAGCCGTATTGATCTCACATTGATACCAGTATGGTTGGTTGGAAATGTACGATGACAGTTTTAGCTTACAGTGTAGTGTACACCTCAGAAAGAGAAGGCAACCACGAACATCTCTGACGGGGCCAACGACGCATATGGAGATTGGATTACACGCTAATCAGTACAACAATGTGTGTAAAGAGAAGACTGAAGCAGCAGCATTCGACTTCTCACTAACTCAGCTCAGTCAGTCTTTTCATTCCAACGCCACGGCTTCGAATCCTCGAGGGCGTTGTGATAGAGTGAAGTCATTGTTTTGATGCACCTCTTCAATATGGAATCATGTTGTCATTATCCTTTAGTTATACAGTTAGAC